ACCTATCTCTGCAGCAATGTATCGACATCTGTAACAGTGAGTCCTCCACTGCCTATCAGTTCCAGCAGATGACAATCGCAGGTGATTCAGAGTTGTGCGCCGTTTCCAGGAGCAAAACTACGAGGGCCACGACCGCGCGACAGGAGCCCTGCAACTTCTGTGCAACACGACATCCGAGGAACCGCGAACAGTGTCCGGCGTGGGGCCGCATTTGTGTCAAATGTGGGAAGCGCAATCACTTCGCCCGCTGCTGTCAGTCGACAGATGTCAGTGCACTCGTTCCAGACAAATCAAAAGAAGATCCCGAACAATCGATTGGTAACGTGTCTCGGAAAGCGTCGCAGAAGTGTGTCTATGCAAGTCTTCTGATCGAGGGACGGTCTGTGCGATTCCAGTTAGACACAGGCGCGACGATCAATATTTTGCCCAGAAAGCACTGCCGCGGCGTGCAAATTCAATCGGATCAAGATTATTTGCGCATGTGGAATGGTTCCAGGCTCAAGCCAAAGGGCTCAGCGACAATTGAAGTGGTCAATCCGAGAGACGGTGTTTCGCATCGTCTGCAGTTCGTGATCGTGGATGAGGATCTCACGCCGATTCTCGGCATTGATTCGATTTTATCTCTTGGCTTTGTCATTTTTAACCATGATCGTTTTGTGTACGCTTGTCAGAGTGAAGCCGATGTTAGTGACCTGTATCCGTCGGTGTTTAGCCCGGGTTTAGGGGAATTCGAGGGTACCGCTCACCTGTCGTTAGATCCTTTGGCACGCCCGATTGCGTTACCTGCTAGGAGAGTCCCATTTGCGCTACGTGACCGATTTGCCGCGGAATTGAACAAGCTGCTTATGCAGGATGTGATTGCAAAGGTTGATGAGCCAACAGACTGGGTTAGCCAGGTCGCAATAATTACGAAGAAAAATGGCGTACTACGCGTATGTATAGACCCGAAGCCACTGAATGAGGTCCTGCGTAGAGAACATTATGCGCTACCGACGTTAGAAGAGGTTTTACCGCGTTTGACAGAAGCTAAGTTTTTCACGAAAGTAGACCTTTCTTCCGCATTCTGGCACGTTGTTCTAGACGACGAATCCAGTTTCCTCACCACATTTACTACACCGTTCGGACGTTATCGTTGGCTGCGATTACCGTTTGGCCTGAAGGTGTCTAGCGAAATTTTCCAAAAGCTTTTGGTGCAAGCAATAGATGATTTAGATAGCTTAACCTTTGTGGCAGATGACGTTCTGATTTACGGTTCTACCGAAGAACAGCATGACACTAAGCTACACCGGTTCCTGAGGCGTTGCGTGCAAAAGAACATCAAGCTAAAACGCGAGAAAGTAGAGCTGCGGAAAGAGGAGGTGATTTTCCATAGGCATGTATTAACATCCGACGGAATCAGAGTTGACCCAGGGAAAATTAAGGCGATACAAGAGATGCCGTCCCCTAACGATGTGAAGGCAGTCCATCGCCTAAACGGTATGGTGAACTACTTAAGCCGGTTCCTACCAGGACTCGCTGATGTCATGACTCCGATTAGGCAGTTAACTCACAAAGGAGTAAATTGGAGCTGGGGGAAGGAACAGGATTTGGCTTTCGAAACCATTAAGAACCTTATCAGTAATGCGCCCGTACTCGGATATTACGATCCAGCACAACCATTGGAGGTACAGTGTGATAGTAGCCAGAGTGGAATAGGTGCTGTTCTGTTGCAGAACGGAAGACCTTTGGATTTCCGCAGTCGAGCACTCACAGAGGCCGAGAAGCGGTACGCACAGATCGAGAAAGAGATGCTGGCAGTGGTCTATGCCATGGAGCGTTTCAATGATTATACTTTTGGAAGAAAGACAACCGTGTACACTGATCATAAGCCGCTGGTGTCGATAGCCACTAAACCACTGAATAACGTTCCTCGCCGTCTGCAGCGTATGCTTATCCGGCTCCAGAAGTATGACACTGACATTGTGTACACACCTGGCACACAGTTGTTCATCGCGGACACCCTGTCGAGAGCACATCCGCCAGTGGCCGAACATCATCTAGAAGAGATCGAGACAGTTAGCATAGTGCAGCATTTGGCAGTGACAGAAAACCGTTTGAAAGACATAAGGCGTTTCACGGAGGAAGACCAAACTTTTGCAGCTTTGCGAGACGTTATCCTCAATGGGTGGCCAGAAACAAAGAAGCAGCTCCCGAAGGAATCAACACCCTACTTCAATTTTCGGGACGAACTCACGGTCTGTGACGGTCTGTTGTTCAAGGGAAGTCGAATCCTAATCCCTTCTTCTCTCCGAAAGGAGATGCTGGAGCATGTCCATCGCGCTCACCTGGGTGCAAATTACACCATTAATCGAGCAAGAGAACTGATGTTCTGGCCAGGAATGACAGGTCAGATCAAGGATCATGTGTCTAACTGTGAGGCGTGCCGTTCACACGACATTCGGCAAACGAAGGAACCGATGATGCTGCATGATGTTCCGGACCGACCGCGGCAAAAGGTAGCAGTGGATCTATTCTGGGACAACGGAAAGGATTACTTACTCACGGTGGACTACTATAGTGATTACTTTGAAATCGATTTACTCACCACCACCACCACCACGGAGGCAGTAATCAACAAACTCAGATGTCAATTCGCACGGCACGGGATACCGGAGGAGCTAGTCTCGGACAACGGTCCCCAGTTCAGCAGCAGGGCATTCCAGGTTTTCGCAACCAAATGGGAATTCGCACACCGGCAAACCAGTCCCTATCACAGTCAATCAAATGGGAAGGCAGAGTCGGCAGTGAAGCAAGCCAAGCGACTATTAGCGAAGGCTAGAGATACTCGGGAGGACCCATACCTCATGCTACTGGAGAGTCGCAACACTCCTTCAACGGATATCGGCCTGAGCCCAGTGCAGCGCCTATACAGTCGAAGGACCAGAACTGTGATGCCTGCATCCGCAACACTTCTGCGCCCTGTCACGCCACAACTTGAGAAAGTACAGAACAATTTGAAAAGGCGAATGGCTACTCAGAAACGGTACTACGACAACGGCGCACGGGAATTACCTGAGCTGACAGTGGGGGAAGAAGTATGGGTTGAACCAATTCCCGATGGACAGGAGCGGTGGAGAAAAGGAGTCGTGGCTGCGAAAGTCGGTGAAAGGTCATACGAAGTAAATGTTGGAGGGAAGAAGCTGAGAAGAAACCGAGTACAGCTGAGGAGATGTCCGAGGCGACAGCATGAATCAGGGAGAGAGCGTTATACTGCGTGCGGCAATGAGGCGACATCGGCAGATCCAACAAAGAGGACGCGGAGTAGTAAAGTGTATGGACTATTTAGCAAAGTACAGCAGCAAGAACATGAAAAAAGGGAGGATGTGATGTGAGTATACACTCGAACGAACGTGCGGTGCCAGCCCAGCAAGGAAGCCGTTAGGCTGCCGCAAGCAAAGGCGGCAGCCGATTGGACGTTCACACCTTTCTCGCATGCACGCTGATTGGCAAACAGTTGGACGCATTGGAGTGAGTTTGTTTGACTGAATCAAAGGAAAAATGTCATGCATCCACAAAGGTCGTTAATTATGGATCCAACTAGCTGTATATACCGATATGTTTCGCTCGCCCTCTGTCTCCGTTTTCGCCTGGTCCTGTTGTTTGCAGAATATACGTTTTGTCCCTGAAGGACCGACTTTTTACAACCCCCACAGTACATTTAGCCCACTCGCAGGTGGTGGTGGGTGCGTGGCAGCGAAGCTTTTGGTACAGCATCCCGGCTTACTGCTGATGCTTTCTTGTTTTGTCACATGAAGAGATGCCTACTGATAGTGGCGTCTGGCAAATATGTGCCCAGTTCTCTTCAACTGCGATCGGTGCCAGGTCATAGGAAATAAACATTGGAGGGAAAACCTTTAGAAGAAATCGAGTGCATCTGAGAGAACACCGGAGACAACAATGTGGATTGGGATTGCAGTGGCAGATAACTTGGGGCAAGGAGACCACGGCTGCAAATACAGCGAAAAGGATGCAGAGCGGCAAGGTGTACAGTGTGGATAGCAACGTGGAGGCACAAGAACACGAAAAAGGGGGATGTGATGGTAGTATCAGATTAGAGAGAGCAGATTGACCAACCGAGGGAGCCGAAGAGCCAATCGGAGACGGACGTGACGGATCCGATTACTGGACCCGGATTGGGCCATATTCGTGTGAGTGATTCACCGTTTGTTTAACTGAAGCAAAGGAGGAATCTCATCGACTCAGAAACGTCGTTAGTTATGGACATGAACCTGCAATGTACATAAAGGAGTTTGGCTTGCTAAACATGTTGTAATTTTCGCTCAGCTGTCTTTGCCGAATAAAAGCTTGTCCCTAAAGAACTGAGTTCTGCAGCAAACCCCACCAAGTTTTACGGTCCTTTTGTAAACTCATGCGCAATTCTCGACCTAGGGAACATAGTTCTTCGCTACAGCCAGAATCAGTAGGGACCGACAGGCGCCTGTCCATTAGCAACAAGGAGACAACAGTGAACTAGCTTATAGGATGGTGATAGGGGACTTCGCAACCATCAACGCCGGCAGAAACTAAGGCATTTTTGATTCACATACACTGTGAATTCAGATAATCCTCAGGAGATTGGGTAAGTAGTGTTGACAGACAAGCCTGGTAGTGGAATAACATCGTAGGGTCTTGTAGGTTTGCTGCGCTCGGTCATGTAGTATGTTGCATAGCCCTCTCCTAACTAACTTATAGAGTAAGACTTCAGAATTTGGCCATCTCTCTAAGTTGGCCAGAATTTTCACCGTGTGAACTTTCACCATCTAAACCTAGTGGATGCAGACCTCTGCATGTTGACCATTTACTGGATTTACTGCATTGTCATTTTGGCATGAAGGTTTTTATTCAAGATCTACTCTAAATTCTGGGTGAGTCGTGGCGAGATAAAGCTGCACTTGGCTCATCTGGAAATGCAAAAATTGTGTGGTTGACGATTAGCACGATAAAATCCGTTTGCTACTGACCTTTGTAGTAAAAGGAGCTCGTAGGTGATGATTGACCATTTGATTTTTTCGTAAATAACGGAAGTCAATTTGACTTCTTTTCAGGGACCAAATGAAGTTCGGTAGAAATGAGCGTAGCATTCTGGACTGAAAAAGCACGAAGATTTACCGTCTTTATTCCAGACACCAGTCAGGATAAGTGGTACATTGGACCAGAGCAACAAAAGCAGCTGGTTGCGAATGGCCGACGAATAAGCTAAGAGTAAAATGGTTGCGATAGGTATGCTTCAAGGGAGACAACAGAAGAACGTTTAATTGTGCATGGAACATTGTAGTACGGTTCGTTGTCCAGAGGTTTCAACTCAAATCCAGAGCTCGTTATGGAGGCCAACTGAGTCAGATGATTTGAGTGAACTCCCACTAGGGTGTTGATCCTCGTCTGCTGACACGTGAAGCATCATTAGGAAACTAAGCTAAATAAGTTATAATATGCCATATTGTAATGCTTCATTTGGTGAACTTAACAATTGAACTATACTGTATGCAAAAACTCGAAAAAATCCTACCTGTGCCATCCAACTGCCTGCTGAGAAAAGCCTTACTTTAATTGGTTTGACAGCTTTACCTGGAGAATTTATTCACGAAGGAAGTGCTTGGTACTGGGTAGTCCAAACGCTCCAAGCGGTATTCGCAGATACGTTGCAGAACGCACGGTTTTAAACTGGTGCTTATTACTGCATGTGCATCGGTGTAGTAGTGTAGTCTACCACACCGTGCCGTGCCATTTGTCGCATGCAGTAAACTGTTATACAGTGTAAGTCAACTGTGTATATGTGGGGATCATCTTTCTCCGGGCGTGACCCGCTCAAAGCGGCCGCCTTGTGTGTTTTTGGAAGCGCGAAAGAGGACCTGATTTGGAACTTACTGCAACGTGCTCTCAGTAGTTTATCATATCTTTCCAGCGCACTTGGGAAGTTATTTACCTAACTAACTACACGAGGGGACCATACATCAAATTCGAACCAACAAACACTCACGCGGCGCACAATAAGTTCGTACAGATCGCTTGGAAACTGCCAGTTAGGAAGGCAATGGTCGGTTGATCAGCAGGTTGTCCGCAAGAGTAGTGAAGAGAAAGCTTGAAATCAGCGTATGCTTTACTCACCATAATCCAGTAGTAGTCCTCCGCATAATTTTCCGATTCAGCTGTAAATGCGGTTGGAAGGAAGATGTGGGCCTTACAGGATTTTTGGCAATATATATTTGTAGATAAACGAACTGAACTTCTTACAGTTTACTAGGGCATGGTCAGTAAATATGCTTCAACGCCTACTACACATAAACAAACTGTAACACGGTGGTGAATCAGTAAATCATTTCATTTGCAACACACCGCGATAGATGGGTTTAAGTCAAATACCGACCTTTGTCTCTCTTCTCTTTCCTCTGAGATAACTCCAACTCAGTGTTGCGCTGAGTTGCGACAACGTAATCCCCTGTTGGTTCCACTGGTTGTAGAGAGTGTGATTCGGCCAGCCGTGTGCGCCTATTTGGTGAGGGGTCATACGAAACCTGGCGGTGTAGCGAAGGCATAGTGGTTCCTCGATCAAACTTCTCAACCCATCCACGAGTTCGCAAGGCCAGTCGAATTCGATGATACGGTCCAAGGACCATGAATACTTTTTGATTCTGTGCAGGATGAGGAATAATCCTAAACTGTGAGCTGTTGGTAAAAATCAAGATGCACACCTCTGCGAATACTAAAATAAAACTACAAACAATGCGCAGCTTCTGGCATCACAAATCACGAGGTTAACTAAAGATGAAAGCTGAATTGGCCTGCAGAATAAAAGGTGCTCAATGTCTCGTAAGTGTGAACCAGCTCTTGTGCAAGGAACGCTGCCACATTGTCCAACCTAAGCTGACTGTGACGGAGCGGTGGGTTCCCAGGGTTCGACTGTGATTGTTTGCATTCACTTCACAAGTATAAGCTGACCACAGTTATCAAGTTAGAAGTCCGTTCCGAAGACTAACGAGTCGTTGTGGTGGGGTCAGAAATCCACATCAATGTTTATGAGCTTTGTAAGGGATAGTGAAAAGCGTATAAACACGCCGGTAGGCCAACCACTACATACCACACCTTCCGAAAAATTTGTGGACAACATGAAGAGGCTATATGGTAACGGAATGCACATGCAGCTTTTTTAGCCGGTCTTGTGGTGGGCAAAATGCAGACACTACTGCACCTAGTATCAGTAGTGGACAAGTACCAAAGAAGCCAAACAGAAACGGGTCAGCAGTGGGCTACAGCGACGCCTCAACAGAAGAGGAACCCGTGAGAGTGGCAGATAGTTGGTCTTTGTTGGCCCCTTTACTCGTTGGCTTCTGCACTACTTGTCTACTACTGACACTAGGCGTAGTAGTATCTGCTTTTGGCTCATCACACTAGTGCATGAATCCAAAGTGCGAACGGAGTTCTTTACTGTTGCAGGTAGCACCAAGCATATGTATCAGCGTGCATCACGAACCGTTCAACTTGTTAAGAACTCTTCATCGTAGAGGCTGCCTGGCGCGCGCTGCTTCCGTTGGGACGTCAGTATATTCCGCTGCTGACTTGTTTTCATTTGCTTTTCTTAGTACCTGTGTACTATTAACACAAGGCACAGTAACCTTTTCTTTTGGCACACCACAGTCTGAATAGGTTGCCACTTACTTCTTCAACAAGACCAGTGCTGGAGTACGGCTCGCTCGCCTACTGCCCGATCACTTGAGGCTAGGCACTGAAGTTTAAAGGGTCGTACACATTGCTGCCAAGCTCATCCTCATCATACGGGCATGTTGTACAAACACAGGTGCGATAAGCTATGACTGTGCACCATATCCTATCATCACACATTAGTGTACTCATCATGACCCACTGTGTTTTACATCTCAGTGGCTTTCCCGTGCTGACTCCACGCTGCACTCGCGCACTCTCAGCAGCACACACGGGCACACGTATAAGTCCGTAGCACCAGATCTGAAGCAGCTGACTTAAACTCTAGACTTCGAGCTTCTAGTGGTGAAATATTGGAGCACTTTGCCCGAGACAGTAATTGAGGTTAAATCTGTGTCGGAATTTATGCAGTTCTTAAACAGTTATTCTATGGAGTACAGAATATCAGAGTGCATCAAACCTGATTAGAGATATGCTGACAGAGCGCGGTAATACATAGCGTCATGCCGCATGTGTGTCAGAACATATTTCAAGGTAGCAACATAGTACTCTATATTCATCCGGGTGACTTTTCCTCTGAAGATAAATTTCACAGGATAGTGGGAGTCTGGTGTGATTCAATGGAACGAGAGCTTACTAGACTGTAAATTGAGTGTTCGGTGGACATGGTAAAATAGCAAAGCGTTGTAGTGTAGACATTTAGCCCGAGTTTATAGAAACAAATATCTATTTGAGCAAAAGGTCGAGAGTGGGTGGATACAACCTGTCCCGCCACCGAGTTGCATAATATGGTCACTTGACAGTTGTAGCTAGGGTCGCATCTAGCACTGCAAAATCAAGCAAACCATGGTTATCTTTATATAGTCATACGGCGCCAACGAATATTTTATTCTCACATGCGCTGCTTCTTCAGCCACTCTTTTTGCCTCTTTCATATTACCAGGCGTCAGGTTTGAGTGGACCACTTTGCACTGAGGGGCAGCGGTTTGGTACGCCCTTGAAGTAGACAGTGAACTAACGTTTGCAGACTCGGGGGATGAGAGCCTCGAAGTGCACTGTTCGGTCATAACACAGCTGGATGGTGAGTTTTGATGCATGTGCACTTGTCCCCGAGTCAATTCGAGTTGGTCTGCTCTGTCGTCTTGGATAACTTCAGAATTCTCGTCAGTTTCGAAACAATTCAACGTGTTTTCGTAAAAATAAATTCTTGATGAAGTTCGTGATAGTTGACCGTTGGATATGTTAGTACCGTTTGATGCGCTGAGCTTTGGTTGCTCATCTGATTTTGTGTTCACTTTTGGCGACTTGCGATTCCTCGAGTTGATCCGTCGGAAGTATTTCTTTCCAGGTTCTTCGTCACTTTCGGAAACGTTATCTCGTGTCTGGGAAAGAGGGCCGATTTCAGGGTAATCTGAAGCGACAGGGTGTTAGTAAAATGCATGTGCAACTAGCGACAACGGTAATCAGATGGTGGACACAATAAGCGTATGGTCACCAAGGTGACGCGATGAAACGGAATAAAAGGAAAAGTGGAATAACATATCGGTAACTGTTATCCATTATGTCGATGGCAAGCTCAACAGTTGCATACAACATTGAAACCCAGCTGGTGTTTCGTTCTTCCATCTGACACAGAACAGCTGACATCGGCTTAATCTAGCAAATTAGAGCAGTAAAGATCATTGTGCTGAGCAGGACCACAGCTGCTCGTGATCGTATACTGATGGAGGGTGTCACTTGGCATTGGAAGTGATTACATCAAATAGCTGTTTCTCGAGACTTAGATATTGACAGTTCGGTTCGTTAGTAAGTGTTCCGTCAGTAGTTTGGTTGCCAATACTATCCTATCTTTGATTATCAGAAAACAGCATGGCAGCAGAATGTGTGGTTCGCCATGCGCTGGTGAAGCTGCGGAAGTCATATTGTTGAGAAACAACACAATGCAATACTCTCTTGTTAACTAGAATACGACTGAAATTTTGTTTTCCGGTTCTATCCTTTTCCTGCTCTGAAATCTGGTGACTCGAGCATCCAGCAATCAGCCCGACACAGAAATCCAGCAGGCGCACCTTGCCATCCCAGCTAACCCTAGTCATTGCTGCAATTCACTAAGCACTGACTGAGGATAGCATACAGTGACACTAGGGAAAAATAAAGCGCACAAACGGTGATTACTTTAACCAGTGAAGAAAACAGCGCATAACACTTTACCGCCACCGTATCTTCTCTCATTAGTTTACAACAGAACCCGAAAGTAATGCAGCTATGGACTAGAACTTCAATCCATCTCAGTTGGCAGATAATACACATCGTGAAAGGCAACAATGGAACGACGGCTTCCGAAATTTTCCAGTTGACTTGAGTGATCATCTGGTATCGGATTAGCGAAGAGTAACCGTTAAGAATAATTAAGAAACTTAAAAATAACAGTAAGAAAGAGTGAGTGAAAATACAAACAAAAGATAAGTTGATTAAAGCTTTAAAGGAAATAATCTCAGAGACATTTATGAAGATTTGGAAAGGCTACCAGCTGAAAGCATGTAGCACACGACGGCAGAACCACCAACCACTTTCAACTTTTTCTGACCTTCAAAGGTTATTGTAAGCAAGGTAGGTGTAATCTTTTATTGTTAAGTGACCTTTTTGTGTACTACAACGCAAAGACAGAACTGATGGACTTGGGAAAAGCGTCTCGTGGATGGCAAATCGGGAAGAAAACATTACTACAGAATTAAGACCGGTTGTGGTGCATTGAGAGTTTCAGGCGTTTGCGGTTAAAAACATCGTTTTCAAGCGTTTAAAAATTATTTAATATTTCAATCCTTTATATATTACAAATCATCATACAAGTTAAATCACAGGGTGTGATGCGGCAGAACTACTGTCTGAATGTTGAAATCCACACTAGTGCACAGGTGGATGTTAGGCATTTCTGTTGTGAAGAGAGAGAGAGTGAGATCATATTTTTTGATAACTGCTGTTAAAAGAATAAATCACTTTTTGAGCATTTTGTTCTCGGGATGCTTAAAATAATCGAACATGTCCCGGACTAACATAAGAGAATTCCGCCGGTGGATAGGTGTTTTTCGGGTTCTGGATCTCAAATGTGTGGGGATCAGTTCAGTAAACATTCGCATAGACAAATGAATGTGCTGTGGGGTTGAAGTTAAGTGTCTTCCCAAAAGATGAATTTTGAGCCATTCCGAGGTCGATTGGAATATTAAAAAAGCAGTTCTACGTCCACGTCGCTCACTACCGTACTAGCGAACTGGATTAAATTCCGTTGAGATTGCCAACAGAAATTCGTCTGAAAGCAGCAAGAACACCAACACCCTTTAATGACAATTCAGTAGAGGCACAACTCTCAGTGAAAACGCCGGCTGCAGGACCCGACTCGGGGACGGTTTCAAGAGTAGCCATACTATCCGGAGGGGCACAGCAGAGCACGAGCAAATACCGGGATTTGGAGCATCTGATACCTGCTTATATGTCAAATACTTCTTGAGAGTATGCAACTCATCCAAAAAACGATTAGTCGCCGACCCTTTAATGGTCGGCGTAAACTCATTTGCTTCATCCATCCATCTTGTCGCCGGCCACTCACTGGTCGGCAAAACTTCACGTATCAGTTGTACAACTTCTGAAGCATTGATTAAATCTGAGCAACTTTCATGTATGTACACCAACTCCCAAGCGCTCCTCAGTAAAATTAACGAACTTCGACTACGTCAGGTTGCAAATGCTTGGGACCTAGTTTCTATTACCGAAAGTTGGTTGCATCAAGAGGTGACAGATGCTGAGGTTGAGATAGCCGGAATGTCACTCATCCGGAACGACCGCCCCAGCAGAGAAGGTGGGGTCCTACTCTACTACCGCAGCGATCTACAATGTACAATAGTTGAGGACCTGGAAACACACGTTACCGATTCACTCTGGCGCCGTCTCCGACTGAGACACAACGACACATGCCTCATAGCTATCGTTTACCGCCCTCCCAACGTCCACTCTGCAAATGGATTCCTGCTTGATCCGTGGCCTAAACAGAGTAATACGCACTAAGTACAGCCACACTCATCTCCGGGGACTTCAATCTACACAATCTGGAGGATTCGGCATCGCCCAGTGAGCAGTTCAAAGCAGACTTGCATGAACTGATCGCTAATATTCCTTTGTACAATCATGTCACCACGCCCACTAGATTCAGGACAGCAAACAAACCATCCATATTGGACCTTGTGCTCACAAATGAAGGGCTCATGATTGACAAGTTATTGATGGATAGTCTATTAGGTCTCAGTGACCATGTAGTAATAACTTTTGAATTTGTGTGTTATGCAGAGTATCCATCTGAACACTCGGAACTAACTCATACAATCACACGCTACCATGTATTGAAAGAACTCGCCGACGCAGCTGCTTGGGAATTCTCAAACAAAAGTCCTCTTGACAACGTTTGGGCAGAGTTCGTTAATAAACTCAGCGACATCGTCAACAAAGCATCAGAGACCAAACCCCTTCGTCCCGCGAAAATGCCTTCAATTATAAAAAGTAGGACTCGCATATGCCTGGCGATAAGGGATGCAGCATGGCGTGCCTACAAGATTAACCCAGACTCAGAGACTTGGGGAAATTTCCTAACCCATTGCAACCATTGCACTGCACTTGTCCGTGAGGACAAAGTAACTTATCAACAGTGCCTAGCCAAAAACTTCATGGCAAACAACAAACTGCTGTATAAGCATGTCAATAAGCTTCGTAAAGTGAAGCATGGAATACCCCCACTATTCACGACAGGCGGTAGAGTACAAAGCGCCGAAGAAGCAGCTAATGCCCTGTGGCTGCAATATGCCCCAATTTTTGAACTCGCAACATCTACCTGTCCTATAATATCAAGCACATTACCGACACCTTTGTTTACAAATGTTATTTTCAACCCATCAATTGTGCTAAGGAAGTTACTCTCACTGCGTGAGCATAGTTCTCCAGGAGCAGACAACATCCGCCCGAAGGCACTGAAGGCTGTGGCTAATAAGCTAGCTGAACCACTGTCACAGTTCTTTCATAGGTGCTTTGATGAACAGCAAGTTCCCACGATGTGGAAGTGTGGCGTTATAACCCCAATTTTCAAAGGCGGTAGCCGTTCCGATCATGCAAATTATCGCCCAGTGATCTCCTCCCTGTGCTCGCGAAGGTGATGGAAGCAGTCGTCGCTGAGGGTTTAATGGACTACCTGGAAAAATGCAACATTTTGGTACAGGAACAGCATGGCTTCCGTCAACACCGGTCATGCATCACCAACCTACTTATTGCACGAGGTAGTTGGACGGAAGCGGCCGATGATGGGGTCGGAGTCGACGTCATCTATCTGGACTTCTCCAAAGCTTTCGATCGCCTTGATCACCGCATCCTACTTCAAAGACTACAAAGTTACGGAATCGGAGATCCTGTACTTGGTTGGATTGGCAACTTCCTTTACCAACGAAAGCCTCAAGTACGTGTTAGGGGATCACTTTCTAACCCAATTGAGGTGGAATGTGGTGTCCCACAAGGCTCAGTGCTGGGACCGCGTTTATTCCTGGTGTTTATCAACGACCTGGCAAGAGTCATCTCCTCAAACTTCCTGCTTTTCGCCGATGACGTCAAGATATGGCGGGCGATTAGTAACAAGGCAGATCAGGATCTGCTCCAACATGACCTAGATTGCATTTACGAATGGTCAAAGAGGAACAAGCTTCAATTGAACATGGCTAAGTGCAAAGTGATGCATCTGCGTCACCAGCCGGTGAGCGCTTACAAGATTGAAGACCACACCTTGGCAAAGGTTTCTCAGGAGCGTGACCTGGGTGTATTGGTACAGGAAGATCTCGGGTGTTCAAAACAAGCAGAGAAGGCGACGAGAACCGGAAATCAACACTTCGGCCTTCTTCGCAGAGTCTTCGGTCGGTTTGAACCATCAATATTTCCCCAAATGCTTAACGCCTACGTGCGACCTCACGTGGAATATGCTATTCAGGCGTGGCAGCCGTGGCAGAAACAGGATCTCGTTGCTCTCGAGACTCCTCAACGAAGGGCAACCAAGAACGTCAGGGGCCTCTTTCATCTGCCCTATCAGCTTAGACTGAAATCTCTAAGAATGTACAGCAGTCGATATCGGCTTTTGCGGGGGGATCTCATAATGGTTTACCAGATTCTGAAGAACCCAAACCACATTTGCCGTCCGCTGCTGGAATTGAACCACAACACTAAACTAAGAGGTCACCCTCTGAAACTGACAATTCATTATAGCCGGCTTGAATGCCGTAGAAATTTCTTTTCTCTCCGCGTGTGCCAGCCTTGGAACGCTCTCCCTAATTATGTCGTCTCTGCTCCCAATCTGGCGATATTTAAAAAACGTGTTGACGATGCATTGTCTCACTTACATTTCATTTTATGACTTGTTAGCCAGGGGCTACAAAACACAATCAAACGGTGTCTTGCCAAACGCCTAACCAATGGATTGATGGATTTATACGTTTAATACGCGAACATCTCCGCTATTCCACATAAGTCTATGGTGAGTCCACCACAACGCTTTTCACTTTATTATGTAATTGATTTTCGCAATAATTTCCATCCCACGGGACTTGTTAAGCGATGCTTTTTTACCCGTAATAAACCGTTGTTCCATTGTTCCATTGTACCTTCTAAGGATGACGACGTGAAGAGAGATGCTGATGATGTCTACAATAGTGCATTCAAATGTGGTTAGCATCCGATTCAATCGGTGCTGCTGAAATAGTCCTTAAAGTGGATGTTTGGGCGCATTCTGAAACGTAAATCAACCAGCGCATCTGTTCATCTTATCATTTAATGCAGATATGTTGGAAAAATCTGGAAGAAGTGACCTACTCTAAGTTTTGGAGCCTCCTCCTTGCATTCCGGCAACCAGTAGTACCATCTTCGCCGTTGCATCATGTATGAAAAGGTGTTAGCCATTTAAAATAGCCAGTAAGCAGAATGGTGCCAACGTGTTTCGCTTCACCAAATGGCCCAACTAAATAGATAGATAAAACTGCTGAAGGTCCCACTTTCATTTGCCAGGCTAAATATGGCACTGTTCACTGTGGGATGTCCATCCGCATTAAATAGACGGGCATATGTGAATTTACTAATGACCGCTTAAGTGGGTGTCCTATGCAGTTTTCAGACCTGTAACATGCTCACAGTTTAATGGAATGAGCGAAGTGATGGACTACAGATTAATATAACCAGATGCTGTCATTTCATGTAACCAAGAAATTTTCAACTTGTAGGTTATGCTTAAAATCCTTAATTAAAGGAAAGTTTCGGGCCAACAGCAGACTTCAGTACAGATATGTCAGCAACCTTCGGATCCGGCAGGAAAAGCTACATACCCAGTCTTCCGTGTGTATTGGCTAAAAACATATCTCTTATGTCGCTTGGTGTAACGGGGGTATGCAATCAGAAGAACGAGACGGATTCACATGATAAAGCAAGCAGTTAAAATGATACAAAAGAACACAGCAGATGAATGGACTTCTACATGTCTACGCTGATTGGCTAATTTTTGCCTGCATTGGAGTTTGTTTGACCGAAACAAAAGAAGAGTCTCTTGAATGTGTAAATGTCGTTGGTTGTGGTAGCTGGCTAGCTATGTACAAGGGAGTTTCTACAGGCTAGTTACGCTGTTCTTTTCCTTGAGCTTACTCTACTGAATTAACCGCTTGTCATTGACACTTTTGGCACCCGAAGGAAAACACATCAAGAGTTCTTACTGTGCCCAAAATGACCGTCTATTCACAGCTACCCTTCAAAGGTAATATGGTGACGGCGCAAATTGAACGGCGGGTGAACACTGCTACTCGCCGTACATTCAACACTGCCGAACTCTGTCCTGGCTGGACAATCAAAAAGCTACCGATCCCCCCAAACAAACCTACTCAACCGGTCTCCGCCACAACTCATTGCATTTACCAATTCGTCTGTACCTGTGGAAGCAGTTACGTGGGCAGAACAGATCGTTGTTTGAGTAAGCGGATTGGAGAGCACATTCTGAAACAAATTGCTGGGCTGCTGGCACAACAAGCAACCGGACAAGGAGCAACAGGCAAGCTGCCGGCATCATCCATTGTTAGACATCTAACCAGTACAGGTCATCAAGTTGACCCTGGTTGAACTTTTACGGGTATCTACCGAATCGAAAACGCCAGGGTGCTGAAGTTTGACGAGGCTGTGTCTTTAAATGGTTACTATCCCATCTCTGTGTGCAAAAGCCATTGACAGTAGCCCTTAAGCTTCCTTGGGGTTCATGACCTTTGCCCCAGCGCTACCAGCTATTGTTTTGTGTTTGTGTGCATTTTTTCTGACCAATTCAAAACGATCGTTTCCTTCCCTTACGTGATCTATATATGTTGTTAGTTTGCAAGTGATCAGATAACACGAAATGGTGCCATCTTGCAGTGCTCGTCTTCTTGCTGTTTTGTTCAGACTTAAGTCAACGCAATTCGGAGGTGCTGAGCAGTTTGGAGGGTGTCGGTAGGTTTGCTGTCTACTCAGCTCCACTGATTGGTCGCATTATAGTGAATTTGATAAGGAACATTAAAGGAAATATCTAAATGGTGCAGCAAGGTTGTTAGAAATGACATCGGCCTAGATACTTATAGTAGGAGAATTTAAAAGCCAACTATGCTGTTACTTTTGCTGGGTTTACTCTGAAACATTGACCATCGAGACATGTGGATGAAATACTTACAGATTTCCACAGTTCTGGACCCTGCGACAACAACTTAAACTTGCGTACTGACTATTTTAATGATCGCTGAGGAATGGTAATTGGGATGGATGAATTGAGGCTTAAAGCTGTGATCAAAATCAATGAAGGCTGCAATCCATGCGTAGTATGTTTGAGGCACAAGAGGCGTAAGTATGATCAGATGCTTAATGTGTGGTCCACCGACAACGGTCTGTGAAAAACTGTTTGGGCCAGGCTGAAAGGCGATATAAATGGCGGCATTTCTACTGAGAGTTGTTGAAGCGTACACTTGTAGCCCTCCGGAGCTTTTAATTATCCAGTATGTGATGTGCTAGATTGGTCCGCTTTATGATCGTACGGCTAATTCACTTTTTACTCACACCCAGTATGCAATTTGGAAAGTGGATGTTATGAAGTTGGATTAAAGGCTATACACCCTTTAAATGGTTTCAGTCATCAAAAGTTCTAAAACTCCCAGTCCGAATAGTAAGAGTTATTTGGTGCATATCCACATGTCATGAAATCAGTGGCTTTAGAATAGGGATGTTCAAACATTTTGCGAGGGAGACCACATTTTTGAGGCAAAATTATGTCGGGCCATATTCAGTCTGACATTAAGATACTAACCAACGGAACATATGTACGAAAAAATTCAAGCCTGAATTTATTATTTTAATGACGAGTCCGCGTGCCAGTTGAAATGTTAACGCGGGCCGCATTTGGCCCGTGGGCCGGACTTTGGACATCCCTGCTTTAGAGCGACCAGAAGTAGTGTGACGGTGAAAGGTTTAACTGGTGCGATCACTCACCAACAGTCGATGGCATTTGTGTGAATGAATTGGTGGCTGGTGTCTGGCAAATGAATTCAGAGTCACGGCCATCACTGAGAGGGACACCATGAGGCACAATACGGATGGGGTGATTTTGCTTTCTATATAAAATTCTCATCCTAAGAAAAATGGGTTAGAACAAAACAAAGATAAGTAATGGTAATTCAGAGTAAAACTTAGCATCCATGTTAGCAATAGACCAAACAATTGACGCTTATCTTATTTTAATTAAAGTAAACTGAGCATTTTCAATGCAAAGTAGTGCAAATGCTTACTTACACCTTTCTAAACTTTGTAGGTGAAGAGAAAAATAAGCTATGATTTGTGAATACAATACCAGTGAAGGCGATTACTGCATCAGCTGGTACAGTTACTCTGTGTAGTTCTATGCTGTGTCCTCAAGTATTCCGGAACCGAGAGTAACGTGCTAGATGAATACCGATATAAATACCTAGCGTTTGAATCAGGCAGCCACAGGTTAAAGTTCTGAGCGAACTGATGCCAATGGACGCTCGCATAGTACCGCACTTGAGGTGAGTCATCATGAGGACAATCGACTGTTCCTCTGGTGCACCAAACTTCGACATACAAAGAGGTTTTCCACAGTATAATGTCCCCTTTCACCATCATAAGTGTGGTTTCAGACTGATCACATCGGATATATAGGTAAATACCACTGTAGCTAAAAGACGCGATTTTAGTTACAATCGTTAAAGTATCAGCCCAATCGTTTTCCTTGCAAGCTAAAGTGACTGATTGTCTCTTGCAAAATCGGGTAGCAATCGATATGCAATCAGTTAAGATTTGGGCGTACGTTCAGCCAACCAGGAGATTCAGATAAAGGCCACGCGACCTACATTCGAGTTAAATTCACTGATCCTTATATTAAAGCTCAATGATGAACTCTTCCGGAGGGGTAGCATAGTAACTTCTCCGAAAGTACAAAGGCTCAATTCGGATAGATTTGACCTTAGTAAATGGAAACCTGACAAAGGCCACACCGGAGAAAACGTACCTTTTCAATTTAAATGGCACGTGGGTGTACTATATGCCGCTGGAGAATCTACATCTGACTGCGTTGGGTGCAACAACGGCGGATGCCAAAACTATGAGAGGTTGGTGTATAAGCCTCCTGGTGACACCTAGTTAGTCACTAGGTGAAGAATGAGGAGCCTTCTACTGATTGACTGTGGTAACCAAAGTGGTCAACATACCGGAGCAGTTAGGTAGCTCTTAGCCGAGTAAAGATAATTAATAGATCTAGTCCCCATGGAACTACATGGAAGATCATATGGAGCAATACGAGACAATGGAAGCGAAAAATGTGAAAATAAAATGCTGCAAACAAACAATAATGGGAGTGGACCAAAATTGTAATGACTACATGGAACTGTTAGTGAGTAGAATCAACAGATCACAAGCCACTGATGTGGTCGACCTCACGTGTCTCACTAGTAGGGTGCCGTGGGGTTACCGGACCAATTTTTGGTTAAGCTATTTATCGTCAGTATACAATAGAATGATAGCTTCAAGATTCACTGTTCATGTAGTCTGGGTAGAAGAAGGTTGACCGATTTTCGAAAGACGTGAATTAATTATGTAGACAATACAAAAAACATGGTTCAAACGACGCACCAGTTTTGTTGGCGGACTTCCACTTATGGCCTTTGGCTGTGTACTTGTTGATCTCGGGAAATGCGGGTGAAGCTGCGTTGGCAACGATGCATCAGGACGGTCGGTGTTCTGATGTATACATTGTTTAGATAGCAAATGCATGCTGTAACAGTGGTTGTATCGTCTTTGCGAGCGGCTGTGTCTTCAGGAAGCCGTTCGGGTGTCATCGATGTCCCGGTCTGTAACCCAAAGCATCACAAGCCTGCCTTGTAACACCACCGCGCGGGTTCCAGCCTGCGTAGGGGACCGAGCGACCCACGCAGTATCCGTAGCTCATGCGTCGGTACTGCATACTGGCGTACTGCTGACATCTACCAGCAAGGTGTGCGATAACCAATGTAGATGTCTTACGGTTATGGAGATCAATACTACTGTTTCCAGTTAGCGAATGCCTAGCAACTGAATCTGTTCCAGACAAATGTTAAGCGAATTATGTGAGAGCATGTTGTAGTCAACTGAAAATCCCGTGCTGAGGAGCCTGCCAGATTCCTGAACTGTAGCGTGCCTTACATGGTGTGATGTTTTACGTATTTCTCCAATCAACTGAGCTACAGCGGGTGGTGTTTTTGATGCCTTGAGAATCACTCAGATCAGGTCGAACTCTATGTTTCGCCACCACTAACCCATTAACGATTCGTGCTTACACAAAACATCTGGTACACTAAGATGGAGTGATCAAATGGTTGCACCGGTAGGTAAACCGGATACGGTAGGACCTGACCTAGGCTACTATCCAAAGTTAAGATTCACGACTCTTATGTGGTTGTCAGACATCACACAGCCTATTTTCACACCATAGATGAAATAGAGGGCTGCCGATGCAATGAACACAGGTCAAGACGGAGTGGGTGTTGTCCGCAGCTTTGTGGTTTAATCACATTGCTTCATTCAGCTTATCGTGAACAGCCGCAAGAGTTCGGCTCGGTTAAAAATCAGCAACACAAAGCGCTCCTCCTTTGCGGTTGATTAAAAGGTTGCTAAGCCAGCGGTTAGACGTATGTTTCAATAATATTGACAGAGGAACATGAGTTCTCTCAAAGTAGGTACCAACATCACTAATGTAACACTTGTCACGAAGAGCCAAAAGCTCAAGCAAAACTGCATCCGAGGCCGTTCACACCATGACAAAGCGGGGTTCAGTGTGCGTTCGCATCTAAGCAAACTTATGACGGACATTGGGATTTAACAGCACCATAAAGCCAAGTCTTCGCAACTCTTTGTGCGCATTTGGCCGAGACAGTACAAGCGTTCTTAGTAAAGGCCAGCCTTCTCTGATTTGCGCCGCACTAGTGGTTTTAATCGTCTCACGCGTGTGGGATTACGCTGCACAGCAGTACTTTTTTCACCGTTCATTGGACGGTGAGGACTAACAGAGCCGAGTCGATATGTATTCCGTTCTTTCATCCCGTACGTGGGAAGCAATAACGGGACAAGTGTCCGGGTATCAGCAAGATGAAGGCCATCTCATGTGGTTATGTCTACTCGACTGGTATGATGTCGACATACGGCAACTTGCCAGGAAGTGTGCTAAATATAAACGAACTGCCAAGATACCCTCCGGGCAAGAACCGATGCCGTGGTAACCGCCTCTAAATCCATGGTCCCACCTTCACATAGACTTTGCTGGTCCAAATGTTGGGGTGTAGTATCTCTTCCTTTGGCTGAAGCGCCGAACAACCTTCAAGTGTTGCTTACTGGATGATTCGGGTTAATTCCGTTCCACCGAATGGTTCGGCGGCAGTGTTCCAGGACGTGGTTGGTTTCTGCATGGTACGCGTACTCCGTAGAAAAAGCCACATGTGTCAGTTAAACAGCACAGCGACGTAGCGAATGTGGCTTGCTACTAACTAAAGCCACTGCCTATAACGTATCTGGATGATAGTACCCAATGCATGGACGTCAGTCATGCAATAAGAAAAGTTTATTTCACTCCTTTTCACGCCAAGGACCTAACCGATATCGAGCAAAAATACGGCGTCACATTTAAAAATTCAAGCAATACCCAATTTCCATCTACATATATTCATATAGACTAATCACGTGGATTCACATGCCACTGATAAACTTGTACCGTTATGTACATTTATCAGTCCTTAGTGCTTATGTCACTATGCCCATGCCTTTGCAGGCGCATCTCGCATAGTGGAGAATAAAAGACTTATTTATTTTCGACGCTTATTACGTGGTCAGAAATACTGGCACATAGCCCAGTGACCCCAAGTAGCACAATTTTCGCGCTTCAGAAGATCTTCAGTCATCACGGTTTGCCATGTGTGCTTGTCACTGCTAACGGGTCCCTTTTCACCTCAGCCCTTAATTCACGGACATTTCCTCCTGTTTGAACGCCCAACACGTATGCGCCCCGCCGTAACACCCACAGTAGAATGACCAGGCCGAAGTCTTCGTCAATGCCTTCAACCGAGCGATTCCGAAGTCGAGTGGAGTGGGGAATACTCGTCACATCGTGCAAAGTTAATTGTTTGTGTATTGAACCAATCGCAATCCGGCGACACGCGAGGGTTGTTCCGCAGTCGAAGCTTTAACGGGCCGAGAACTGCGGATAGTTCACCATTCTCTTATCCCTTCTCGCTGTCTTCCGCAAAAGAGAATCGTCCTGCCCTCAATGATGAAAGACCTGTATACGCTCTGGATTACAGACGCGGGCACAGTGAATGGGTCGAAGCTATTTTTACCGCTCCCTGAGGATGAGTGCTTTACGATGTAATAGCAAATGATTATGCCTGGAGCCGAAGCCGCAACCCATTACGTCTCAGGCATTCAAACTCAACGAAGGATATCAGCAATCGACCTTTCCTGTTAGATATACTTGAGACCTTCATCATACCGTCCACGGGCACTATAAATCCCACTCCATCGGAAGATAAGGTAGACGTGAGCCTTCTTCTCGTCGACGGACATATCGAGTCCGACATCATTTAAAGCACCTACAACTGAACCCAAGGAAGTAGAGCTATAAAGTACCAATATTAAAAAGGGACGTGACTCGTTTTTCGAGATCTGCACGAGTAGAACAGTGCTTGTTCGTTAGCGTCACTTTCATTGCTCTGATAAGCTGTTACATTTATGCTTTTCATTGATGTGGTATACTACGCCCTCAATCGTTCTAATTTTATTCTAGCCGATGCATTTTTGAATTCCTCAACCAGTACTTCATGCAGCTGGGAAGCTGTCAGTCGTCGGTTTGTTTACCTGCATTAAATTTCCAGTTTGAATTTCTGCTATTTTGCTTTAGGCCTTTGGAGCTAGTGCAAAGCGTGCGAGCCGAGAGATTATCCTTGATAATTTCCAATCGTTAACAGGAAGCGATGTAGAAATGTGTGCACGTCAGCACTCGGACTGACACCAGGTTGAAGAACGAGCCAGTTGCATCGGCTATGAGCGCACGTGTAGGCCGGTTAAGTCCATTCGAACCTCATTTAGGCTG